TTCAATCGTGTGATTACCACCATTCGAAAAAAAAGTTGCGCTGATCATGACTTTGGATTGAAGACGGTAAAGTGTGTGATGAATTGTTTATGTGAAGGCTGCCATAGGCAGAAATTAGAACATTTGGCAATTTTTTTGTTTATTCGTGTAAACATGTTTTATAAATTTTGTTAACTCGTTGAATTAATTATAATGATCAGTACCTATTTGTAAAATACTCCGTGTTGTATGTTATGTTACCATTTTTTAAGTTTAAGTTGCACATAAGAGTGAAAATGGTTTCCTTATCTAAAATCAAATAGTTCGGAAAATTTGTTATTTTTGTATGAAGAATGTGATGAAAATAACATGTGCATTTTTTTTTTGTTCTGGACACAGAAATAATACATCATTTGAATTAGACGAAATAATTTTAGAAATGTTACCTTATTAAGTTTTTTTTCAATCGATTAACATTAAATTATTAAAGTTTATTGAATAATTAGATTTATTGAATAAAATATTATAAAAAAAAATTTCAAAATTTCAAAGTAAACGCGTTTTCCATTTTTATGTTTTCAGAAACAGTTTTTCAGAATGACAAAAAGAACGCATTTTCAAAAATTTCAAAACAGACACTCAAAACACAAAATACAAAATGAATTCAAAAAGTCACATTATTTTTTTCATTCTTATTCTTTTACTCATTTTCAAGCACACATTTTTCAATAAAATAATATTTTTTTATCACATCAATAATTTTTCCTTCTTTTTCAACCACATATTCTCCATCACATCAACCAAAAAAATGAATTCTCTTCACAAAAATGCCTACCAAATAGAGGCTTAATCAGCTCGAAAAAATTATTACACACCTAGTCCTCAACCTATGCCTAAATGTGCATTTCAATTCTTGTTCAAATACAAATGTACCAATTTTTTTAATTGAAAAGAAAAAATAAAACCCAAATTCTTCTTGGGGTTTATACCTGGGGGTTGGCCATTTTTTTTCTTTTCTTTTTGCATATATTATTTTTAGTGTTAATGTAAGTTCGAGCATAGTTATAACAAATTTAACGTTTTGTTATGGAACCATGAAGAATGACGAAAATGCACAATAAAAGTTGAGATAAATGTTAAGAATAAAATATTGGAGGGAATGCATAAGTGATTATATATTGAGGACGGCGTGTATAGATTAACTTGCATGAAATGCATAGAGATAATTTTATGAACAAATAAAAGTTTCTCTAGCTCTGTGAGCCTTATCCCCATTGACTTGAGTTGGCCACGGCACATTACTTCTCACAATTATAACAACAAACAAAGTATTCACAAGGGTTTTTACTAAGTGTACACACCCCAATGTACAGAGAGGTTGGTACATTGAGGTGTCAGTCACGATATACAAATAACAAAACTCATTCACAAGAAATCAAACAAATGAAGTATTAACAAGATAATAATTGTTTTTAGGCTGTGTTTGATATGCATAGTTTTCTAGGGAAGTTGGAAAATAAATTCCATTTTTCAACTTTATGGCTGTTTGATAGCCAAACTTTTGCTANTCATTTAATTAACAATTTGAATGTGAAATAAAGCCAAACGAACACAAAAAAAATTCAAAATTTTTTTTTATTTTTTATTTTTTTTACTTTTTGTCAATCCAAACAAATTCTATTCTCAATTCTAATAAAATTTATTTCTTTAATTGACAATTTTCATGAAAAAGAAAGCTAAACGGAAAAGGTGAAAAATTATACCTATCAAACACAATTAATTACAATTCCCAGTAAAACAAATTCTAAGCAATTCAATTCCCTATAAAACATTTTCTTTCCACCCATTTTTCACCTTTACAATCAAACGCACCCTTAGTTTTTAATTTGGAATAAAGCCATTAACATTAGTAGCGTTAATTGTTATTATCTAGTTATTTGTTGTAATCGTCCCTGTCTAAAATCCGCGGTGGTAAATTCTAGGCCCCTTCGGTGTACGAGGTAAAAATAAAAACGCGTTTATGATCCATAATCCCGTAAATGCGATTTTAGTTGAGGAGCAGGATGCTCGGAATTACCGTACTACTGCCAATTTTGGGTATCTTACATTGTGACACGTTTCGCTTACCGTTTTACCGCCGAAAATCCCTCCTCCGTTTTCCTTTCAAATATACACACACTCTCGTATCTATTCACAATCTCAATAAATTCATAAATAAATTATTAAATATCAGCAAAATCGAACCCTTTTCAGCCCTACAAATCCCTCATTTTTTGACTGAGTTTGACAATTTTATCAATTTGTATGTATTTACATGTAGAACAGTGTATCTGTTTATACAGAGAATCTTATATTTATTTGATTTTTTAGTTATTTATATAGATGGGGACGGTTACCTCGTCGATGGCAGCGAAATTGGCTTTTTTTCCGCCGGACCCTCCGTCGTACAGGGTGGAGGAGGAGGAGGGGACGGGGAGATTGCGGATGATGGAGGTTACGGAGAAGGAGAACGTGGATGTGTTAAAACTAAAGACGAAGAAGGGGACGGAGATCGTGACATTGTATATTAAGAACCCGGAGGCAAAGCTGACGCTGTTGTACTCGCACGGAAACGCCGCCGATATTGGCCAGATGTACGAACTCTTAAATGAGCTCAGCCTCCATCTTCGCGTCAATTTGATGGGGTAGGGTAACTCAATCATTTCTACTTATTTTCTCGTGATTTCCTATGAAATTGGTTTAAGTATAGTATTAGAACGGATAACGATGCAACTTGAAGGAATTGTTGTACATAATGGAGTATGTATGTTTCTTGACATGAGGCGGTGTGGGTGCAAACAGAGAAATGCTGGTATATAGAATGTGAGGAGATTTGATTGACCAATTTAAAGGTTTTCAAGATTTATTATTATTTGAGGACTATTGGGTAGATAGAGGCAGTTATTGAGAGAGAAGCATTTGTTATTGCAGCTTAAGGAGTTTTTATGGTTAAATTGTGATAATTGGTGCCATCTTTTGTGCAGTTGTTGCGGTTAATTTGGTTTTAATAACAATTAAAATCCGTTTGAACTGTTGGAAGATGGAACTTGCAAGATGCAGTTTTTTCCTCCTCTTTTGGTGGGTTTTTAATAGTCTGAGCTAAGATGGATAGAAAAGCTATGCACTAACAAAATTAACCTTCAATAGCCTTGCCATCATGTTGGATTTTCTGTTAATGGCTGAGACCACATTGGGCAGGATTATTTAGACCCTCTGGTGGACATTTAGGGTTGGATGATGAACATTGTTTTTAACCCTCCCGTGCACATTTAGGGTTCCATTTTTTTCTTTTTGAGCTATGCAACTGTAAGGACAGTTTCTACTTTTCCTTTTGATGCTTTACAACTACTGCATGGGAAAAAATAGGCAGGCAGGCAGGTTTGGATTTTGGTCATATTTTCTGAACTTCAAATTTCCTTTTTGCAGGTATGACTATTCTGGGTATGGACATTCCACTGGAAAGGTACGAGAACAGATTTACGAGTCCTGAAAGAATTTTAAGACGAAAATTGCTAAATTGTGCATTTGATATTCTTTTAACAGCCGACTGAAGAGAACACTTATGCTGATATAGAAGCTGCATATAGATGCCTTCAAGACGCTTACGGAGTGAAAGAAGAAGATATTGTATTGTATGGGCAGTCTGTTGGGAGTGGACCGACTTTGGATTTGGCTTCCCGTTTGTCTAGATTAAGGGCCGTTGTTCTTCACAGCCCAATTCTGTCTGGACTTCGAGTGATGTATCCAGTTAAGCAGACATACTGGTTTGATATATATAAGGTAAAATTCACTTTCCACATGACTATTGCTCAAAACCCATCTTGATATCATGTGGACCAATCTTCCATATACTGACTGACTGCTTTTGTTTGTTTCAGAATATTGACAAAATTTCGTTGGTCCAATGTCCTGTCTTGGTCATTCATGTAAGTTTTTATCTTCTCTAGGTTTTAAAATAGTTTCCATTTTTGAAGGTTTTTGCTTGATTACAGATACTATGCTGGCAGAATTTAATTTATTGGCAAATGCTAACGGTCAATTAAATGACTTGCAAGAATCGGAATACTAAACTTCATTTACATCATTACACGGCTTTTTTTTTTTCCTCCCTGAAGCCAGTCATGTTTAGTGAATGATGCCTGGTTTTCACTCTTGTTGTGTGTAGTCAAAACTATTGCACGTTCTTTTGACGTTGTTTATACTAACATGAATGGTTTATGCACCATTCTATGTTATTTTCCTTTAGTTAGTTCAGTAACATGCAGTTCATACTTCATTGTAACTGGACTATAAAGTTGAAAATTCCAGGAGCATGCCTTCCCACTGTAAAGTCTAACGATCAAACTAGCTAACATTATTTAATCATAGTGATAAGTGATATGGTAATAATAAACGCGATAATTATCTTAAGTTTTTATTAGTAGAAGTTTTGGAACCTAGTCCCAGTCATATCCCGAAAATAACATTTCTATGAACAGTAATCAATATCACTTTCTGGAAAAACCCTTACAATATTAATGTGTACATGAGAATTTTACAATATTTCTACTTTTGTTTACATGTACAAGTTTAGATTATCAGTTCGTTACAATCAACAGATAATGGAGTGCATTAACACGGTCCTAATTATTACGTTGCAATAACACTGGAAAATGTGTCTACGCACGAGATTCTATTACGATGTTATGGTCCTCTAAAATTTTGAAAACCTCTTTCTTTACAGAATTTGAATAGGCTTTCATATTAGACTTGTTGGTGACAATACATGCTCATTGTTGGCAGAGAATTTTGTAGGAATTATGATTTCTGTGTTCATTTAAGTAATCTTGAACAATGCTCCAACGTAAAGCTTACATGTTGATGCATTGCATGGGGCTTTCATAGGAGCCTTGAAGCTTATGTTTTGAGTGCCCTTTGCCTTGACTTACTTCTTGACTTACTGCGGCACAAGGTTTGAGATAGAAGTTCCAGCAGTTTTGGTATGCACTCCACGGTCTGGCCTTTTTATGAGTCACAACTTTTTTGGCTGATTTTTACTAGGCTAGAATGATTAAAGAATTTACTTACTTCTTGACTTGCTGAGGCACAAGGTTTGAGATAGAAGTTCCAGCAGTTTTGGTATGCACTCCACGGTCTGGCCTTTTTATGAGTCTCAACTTTTTTGGCTGATTTTTACTAGGCTAGAATGATTAAAGAATTTTTTTGGCTTGTAAACGTAACCTAAATTTTAAAACTAGAAATGAAAAGAATTGGTAATTTCAGAAAGAAGAAGTGAAAAAGTCTGTGCTTGCCTAGCCCTATACTCCTATAACTGAACTGCACCTCTCTCCCAAATGAATGTCCAATTTTTGGCGGCAATAGCATGTTATTTTTTTTTTTTAAATGTTTTTGTTTTTCTTTTGGATTAGAGAGAAGCAAAAATCATAAATAGCTGGCAAATTGTTTATTTTTATATGAATTCTAATTGTAGTTGTGGATTGATAGTCATGTTACGTGATTACAATTTTGTTAATTTATTATTTTCTATTTCGTTTGATCCATTATATGTTTCTAGTTGTAAATTAGACTTCCAGCTTTATTGAAATATTTTGTTGTTGACAATTTTAACAATTTTAAGTGATTTAAAATTTATGATGAATATATTTTTTGGTTTAATGATTTTTTTCAAATTATATTCAAGTGGGTTGAGGCTCATGGCTTGACTCAGTGATACAAATGGATACCCGATTTAGCCTTTTTGAACATTGATATGAAAGAACTCTTAGAAGAGAAGAAGGCACAAGAAACTCAATATAATGGAGTTCAGAACTAGAGCAGCTTTAACTAAAAACAAAATAAGTTTATATTTGTTTTTCGTTAAAGCACTATCCTATCTTAAAACTTTTGTTGGTGTTAAAATAAGACAATATGAAGGTGATAAATATTTTTTCCAATAAATACCACCAGCATTATCAGTATTAGTGGAAAATGCAACTAGAACTGAAAGAAAAACTTTAAAAGTGATTGTACGGGTGTTCTGGCCCCATCAGTCAAATAAAAAATGGATCATTCATAATCAAATTCCTTTTAAATGGCTATTGTTTATTTTTTCCAATGTTGTAATAGTTACCATGAATAGTCATTTGGAAGAAAACTTGTCGTTTAGAATGTCCTGTGCTTTGGTTTGCACACTTATCAATCTTTTCAGATTGCCTCTTTTTGTTCTTGTAATGGAGAGTTACTTTGGTATGCTTTTGAGAGACTTTCATGCTTTTGTTTGAAAGCATCACACATCTTGCTCCTACAATTAACATTTGCCTGTTTCCTTTAGGTAGTAACAAGATATTAGGCCGCTGCTTGGGCTCCATTAAAATTATAATTCATTTTTCTCTCTCTTCTTCCAACTACACATTTTCCAATAAAATAATATTCCACGCAAACTCAAAATTTTTCTTTCTTTTTAATCCACACATTATCAAAAAAATTACTATTCCAAAATACATTTTTTCCCTGAAATCTCATTAAAATGAGGCCCAAACAAGGGCTAGGTATGATGTCTTGATTGACGATCACTTCATTATATTTTTGTTGGATTTTTAAATAAACTCAGTAATTGAAGGAGTTGGTAAGGGAATTTTGGTTTTGTTTTTCTTGTTTTTTGAAGTATATATATATATAATAAAAACTAATCATCTTTGAGACAAATTTTGCCGGAATGTTTTATATCTTGCACAATTGTTATTTTATTGGGAAGCTTTACCTCCAATTCCATCCATGTGCTATTCTAGGTATATTAATGGCTATTACAGCTTAAATCAGCAACGTCTATCTGTTTAAATAAACTTCATGTATTTTAACTGGGGACTAGAATGTAAAAATATCATTTTTTTTCCTTTCAAATTTGTGTCTTTTTAAGAAGTTTTTGAAATTATCATTTATATTTCAAATCCTTCATGCCTTCATATATATATATTTTTTGAAATTATCATTTATATTTCAAATCCTTCATGACAATAAAACCTGATTTGAAATAAGTTTATGCATGGTGTTAATAGCTGCATCGTCCCACTACCCCGTGATAATTTGATTCTCATTCCGGTTGACATAAGCATTATTATATAACAGCGGGAGTGCTGCACAGTGCACACTTGAGGAGCAGATGACACACTGGTGATTCCCGGCCAAAGAAAATATTGTTGCTGCCTAATATTTGACCATCTTAAAGCACCCTTCTGCTCTTGCTAAACCAATTCTCATCAGAACTAGGGAATAATGAACTAAAAAGAAATAATGTTGAGATTTGAGTGGCTAAAGGAGAGCACCTAACTCGTGAAACTGAGCTATGACTGCTACTTGCTGCCGGAGTATTTTCTGTCACTGTTATTGCAGTCATTGTTGCTGTGTAACAAGAATCTTTGAACTGGTGTTCATATACTGAATGCCTACTTTGCAGGTTGGACTTGCAGGAAGTTAATGTTTCCTGCTTATGGATTATTTTCCCATTTTGATATTTACAGGGTACTGCAGATGACGTTGTGGATTTCTCCCATGGTATGCAACTTTGGGAGCTCTGTAAAAAGAAGTATGAGCCATTATGGGTTAGAGGTGGCAATCATTGTGACCTGGAACTCTACCCGGAATACATTAAGCATTTAAAGAAGTTCATATCAGCTGTTGAGAAATTAGTCCATTTGAGTGTACCATGCATGGATCATACTGACAATCCTTGAAAAATCATGGCTCAGAGAGAAAAGTCTAGATCAAGTACCGACCAAAGAGATAAGCATAGAGCAAGCACAGACTGGAGAGAAATCTAGAACCAGCACTGACGAGAGAAAAATCACGAAAGAGTATGGATTGTGCTGAAAAAGCTAATAACAATGCCGAACAGCCAGAGAGCGCAAGGAACAGCATAAATCAGTTGAATTCAATTCAGATGGCTTACAGTTTTTTTTTTTTCAATTATATGTTTTTCATTCTCTGTGTTCTGTTCTTGTATGTCTCACTTTTTATTTGGATGGTGGCAGCTTTTGAGATATATTGAGATCAGCTGTTGTCTGCCATATCGACTGTTTCAAGCCTGTGGGAGCTAAGGTCTGATTGTTGGAAAGATCATGCTGTTTTCTGCCATATTGAGATTTTTAGGTTAATTGTATTTTGTATTTGAATTGGTCAGTTATGGTAAATCTACTTTCCATCTTTAAATTTTTAATGTTCCATTGTTAACAACAGAAAATGTTACATGTAGGTAGCTGATTTGTGTTATTTATCCAGGTTACATAACTTCACATTTCTCTCTTACACAAACTTATTGCATTTTGATATCTTGTTCTCGCCATATTGTAATTAGCCGTAGAATTAACTTTTATATTATGGCAAATTTTAGAGACGTCCCCTGAGGTTCTTGATAATTGCATAGACACCAACTAAAAAATTACGGAGACCTCATTATTTCAATTTTTGAATAATGCATATCTTCCTTGAGCTTTATAACATTTCGGAGACATTTTTTTCTTTTCAAAAATTACACAGATATCCATTGTTTCAAATTTTGTATAATGCATACCTCCCATGAGGTTTGTGACAATTTCAAAGTTATCCTCCTTTATTAAAAATTATACACGTCTCCCTTATTTCAAGTTTTTAAATAATGTACATCACCCTTGACCATTTTTCTTTCATGTGTAAATCTTGAAGTGAGGTATGCGTTATTTCAAAACTTGAAATGAAGGAGATTTGTTTAATTTTTTAAAATGGAGTATTTATCAAATTGTCAATTGTGGGACATGCGTTATTCAAAACTTAAAATAAGGGAAGTTTGTGCAGTTTTTGAAAATGGGGGGAGCGTCTTTGAAATTGTCATAAATCTTAGTGGAGGTATATGTCATTTAAAACTTAAAATGAGGGTTCATTTGATTGCAAATGTGGAAAATAGGTGGAAAGAAACTGTTTTACTAGGAAGTGTAAAATTGTAATTAATTGTGTTTGATTGGTATAATTTTCCAACTGGTCCGTTTGACTTTGTTTTTTATGAAAATTGTTAATTAAAGGGATAAAATTTCTTACAATTGGGGATAGAATTTGTTTAGATTGCCAAAAAATTAAAAAATAAAAATTGAAAAAAATTTGGTGTCTTTGTTTTACATGAAAATAGTCAATTTAAGGGATAATTTTTTATTTTTTATTTACAATTGTGGATAGATTTTGTATCCATTGAATGAGAAAAAAAAAACCTAACAGGTAGGAAAACAAATTCACCCAAAATCAAGAAAATGGGTCACATGCACCCAAAGCAAGAAAACCAAATGTATCCATTGCCAAAAAAAAAAAGATGGAAAACAAAAAACTACCTAAAATGTGGGAAAATAAATTCACCCAAAACCAAGAAAATGGGTCATGTGCACCCAAAGCAAGAAAACCAATTCCAAGTAAAAAAAAAAAGAATGCTATTAAACAACCTAAAAGTGGCAATTGGAAATTGAATGGAGGCCTATCAAACAGGCCCTAAGAGAAATTCGTATAAATTTTGAAAATAAATGTGTCCCTCAAATTGTTATATGCCTTGGGGAGGTCTATGCAATTTGCCATTTTTATTTGCGTTTGTTTGGCATAACTTATCAATGACAAAACTCTTAATTTAATTTTAATTTTTTTATCTATATAAATTTTCGTGAATAATTCTATTTATTATTATTATTATTATTATTATTATTATTATTATTATTATTATTATTATTTTATTTTTTAATTGCCAATGATCACCTAAAATAAGTTTATGGTTGTCCCCATTTTTTCCAAAAACTCATTTTTTCAAAACTCAATTTCGATCACACTCATAAAATAATATTACATATAAATCGAAAATTTTCCTTATTTTTTAACTACATATTCTCAAAAAATCATTATTCTAAAATTTATTTTCCTCTAAATTTTCATTAAAATGGAGTCTAAACAAGGGCTAAATATCGTATAATGCGACATACGGTAAATAGGACACAGCGGCATAGAAGACACGTTCGGTAGGTTGATATAGCTCTTGAAATGCATTTTTATATGATATCAAGTGGGCTGTATAACATACTTGGTAATAATGTCTGATATTTATGGCTTTTTTTTTTTCCTTTTTTACACTTGTTTTCTTTTCTGTGCATTTCTTTCAATTTCACAACATGCTATCCGGTTTGAATATTCGAAGTGCAAATGCGGAACTGTAAAACGAAAAAGCCTTAATTTGTACAATTGACAGTCAAATTTGTATCAGATATAATGTCGTGAATGAATTTGCAAGTGTCACTTTTCTTAAAAAATGAGGGAAAAAATGACTTCAAAACAATTTGCATAATATATATTTCAATTTAGGTAAGTCGAAAAGACGCTCCCACCTCGAGGAATGAATAAAATAAAAATAAACTTGAATTTGAGACAGCCATTCGAAAATAGTTCATTTTCGAAGTCTAGATCTGTGTTCATTGCTATGAGTGCAGATGATGTCTTTCTTCCATCAATCTTCTACCGTTTATGCACAATGCCTTTGACAAAACTTATACCCTGGCCCATTTTCTATTGTTTATGCATAATACCTTTGAGAAAACATTTAAATTAAAAAAAAAAAAAATGTTTGCTTGCTAATTACTTAATTTTCAAAAGATGTGATTTAGCCCCTGTTTCGTTTGGATTAAAATGCAATTAAAATCTCAAGTTAAAGTTAACAATTAATTTTAATCACACATTTTATTGGACCCACAACTTTTCAACTACACATTTCATCAACTTTTATCAAAATTTACTAAAAATTTGATTTTAATCTCGACCAAACAGGGGAGGTTTGCAAAGCAGCGGCAAAATTAGTTCACAACAGAGTGGGAAAAAAATCTGATGTGCACAATAGTAGAGTTATTTGCATCAATTTTCGGAGAAAAATGGAGCATAAAACTTGTCCTCTAAAATGAATAACATGTAGAGAATAGCTAATAATTCAAATTGAATACATATATGGCTTGTTTATTTAGATGCATTTTAATGTATCGAAGGGAAAAAAAAACAGTTAAAATTTTATAATCAGTTCATGAAATAATGCAGTAGGTATATACAGGGGCAGAGTTATGAGACAAATTTCACAAAAAATTTAATTGTAGTGACAAAATTGAAAATTATAAAGATTTTTTTTTTTTGAAAATCTTGGATTTTAAATTTTGTGTGGGGGCGACTGACCCCGCTGTAAATCCGCCACTAAATATATAAAGGGTATCTACATAAACAAATTATGGAGTGTCTTAATAGGATTAGAAGTTCGAGCTGCTGCATGAAACACAATGCCTTGATCTAAATTTAAAACGAAGCTTCTATGTATATTGATAAGTGTAGTTTTTATACTTATTCGAGACCATAAATCATCATATTTTATTATTTTTTGGATAAAACTTTACCTAATTTATGTTATATAGTATTTTGTCGGTAAAACTTTATATTTAATAAAAATTGGAGAAAAGAATGCAAAAGTGGCGAAAAATGGTAAAATTCAAAAATAAAATATTTGAGAGAAATATTACATTAAATGGATTCGAGTTAAATGGTTCTCAATAGACTTGCATTGAAAATTTTAATTGGAGGCCCACATTTTATATATATATATATATATATATATATATATATCAGACAGTTGCTTGCAAAGGCAGCGTGTAGCTGCCTATGTTTTATTATTATTTTTAGGTCCGGCTCATCCTGAGCCGGCCGTATGACTCATTGAGCCACTCGGTTCCATCAAGCCGCAAGGCAGGCAGGCTCGAGCTTTTCTCGGGCCACTCAAGTCGGCGAGCAAAATTGACACCCATAATTGAGAAAGATTAAAGATGAAAAGATGTTAAAATCTTTTTTTCCAAATAATGTACACTGTTGACTATCAGACAATCCTCTTTTATCGAGATTGAAATCAATCAAGAAGTCGATAGCAAAATAAATCATACGGCAAAAGTGTCATTATTGTCGCCAACGTGAGAAGAAAGGAGTTCCAATTCCGCAAGAGATTGGAAAATTCAGAGTCTCCATCCTCCTTTTGTCCTTCCCTTCTACCATTAACACTCTTTTTTATTTGAGATGTCTAAATCACGAAGTGATTCCTGCCTAACAAATATGATTGGAAATAAAAAAAACAAAATAAGTAGATAATGAATTATTTATTTCAGTAATTTCTTGCTTTTACACAATCTTCAGAATTTTAATATTTCTATTTTGTCCCTTATGTACCAAAGTCCTTTTTTAAGAATTGTCATAACTAACTCTGTAAGATGCAAATATCACGGAATATTCATCAACAATATATGTGGAAATTTTGTTGGTTAATTGTCAAAAATAAATTTTCTACGCTAATATCAAACCCTAATTTCTAGTAAATCTTGGTAGAAGTCACCATGCGCCAGCCAAATAACAAACAAGAGAAACTGAAGGTAGAATAATAAAGTATTTCACGATTGTAAAAGTTGAAAAATAAAAACAATCTTTGCAATATACTTAGGTCTAATACTAAATACCAATCTTGTATTATTTGGTAAATGACTCTACGATCTCTTTATAAATTCATTTTCAACCACATACCGTAAGTATTATCAACTTGTTGACCGCTCATTTCTATAATTCTTCCTAAATGGAGGCTACATATTGAAGTTCCGCTTTATATGCCATCAAATGTTCTTCACTTTACATCTTTTAGAGCATATTTGGCACCATGGAACGA